TTGCCAAAAAAAATCACGAGTTCATGATCTTAGAAAACATTGAGTCAACAAAACTAAAATCTTGAGAACTACTATCACAAAGTCAAGTTTTGGTTGATTCTATAAATCTGACGTGTTCCTTTTTTTTTTGGGAGGAGGGGGAAATGGGGGGAGTACAAACATTGCCTAGTTTATGTACCATCAGGAGACCACTTGGGCTCAGTTGGAGACTCCACGAGTGAAGGATCATTCCCAGCAACACATACCCGCTTGTAGATCTCTCTGCAAGGAACCTTAAGATGGTTAATCTTCAAGTTCAAACATGGCATATAAAAAGAAAAAGGAAACTCCAACTATCATATGGAACTTGGAAATAGATCCAGGACACAGAATAAAAGACAGACATGGTGGAAAACAGGAAAAATCTTTCAAAAGAAATAAAATATGAAGAGTATCAATACCAATAACCTTGAAGAAGTGCTTTGAGATTTGAAAAAGTATATATGCAATCAAGCATCACTTTTTTCCATTTCAAGGTTAAGAAAAGAATGCAATTTAAACAACAAATATAAGACCTGCATTGTGTAATTCAGAAAAGAACTGAATATCTACAAAAGTATCAGCTGTTCATATTAAAAGAAATTGTAGCATAGATAGACTTGTAATCAATTTGAAAAACCAAAAGCACACAAAAGAGATGAAACAAAAGAATTTTCCATTGCCTTGTTTAGGATACCTACATGATAAGCAAACTTACCTTTTTCAAGTTACAACTTACAACTATAATAAACAGTTCTACTCACCCATTTTCAGAAATATAGCCAACCCAAAGTTCTGATTTATCCCATGGCATGTTGGGATGACTCCACTGAATCCAAGCTATTCTTTCACTTTTCGGATCAAGACGGGGGAAAGCATAGAAGTCACTCCCACCAACTAGTACTTGTGGTTCTGAGTGGCACACAATCTAGTTAGACAATAATATTGATATGTGTTGCATGATGAAAACAGCCATTGAGAAAGGGAAAATAGCACAATATACTTATATGAAAAATTTTAACAAGCAATAATGAAATACTTACTGCTTGTTTGGCCTGGGAAAGTGCTTTTGTTTTCATTGCTTGTTAAAAATAATTACAAAAATGACACCTTATTTTCACTTTATTTCATGTTTTCAAAGATTTGTAGATGACATGGTAAAACAAAAAAAAATTGTTTTCAACATTTCCTAAATAAATCTCTGAGAAATAGGAAACAAAGTGAAAACAATGTAATATTTTTACAATTATTTAAAATAAAAAAATGTTTTTTTTTTACAAATAGGCCCTTATTCAATATTCATTCAATCTCTCCACAGATTAAACTCACCAGTAAGACATGTTATTACCTTGAACATCCTTGCTGCTAAGTGCTATGGATACAATTGTTGTAGATGGATTTTGACTGCTTTCTCGACGATCTAGAGACATGATCATACATTTAGGACCAAATAATAGTTTAACAAATTAAAACATTGGGGACATTCTGGAGTAGTCTTGAAGATAAACTGATTCTGGACTGCATACCTTCCCTTACACTAACAAAACGATTAAAGCGTGCATCAAATACTCCATCAGCATAGCTGACTGCTGGGCCACCGTAACTTGGAGTAAGAGGTATAGGAGGTAAATCTGTTAGGGGACAAAGCAAAATATTCCGGCACTAAATAAGAAAATCTTTTCACATACACCTTTGACAATAACATGATGCCAAATCAATATTCCTAGATAAATCTGTATATGTTAACCAAAGTTAAATTCAAAGAAAACAATATTTAATGACAATATACAACAGACATAAGAGTAAGAATACACATCAAATCAAAAGGTGCACAAACACAAATGTCATTTGGGCTATGTTTACAGAAAGAGGTGAACTGCAGGGGCTTGGAATGGAATGGCATTAGTTGTCAATGCTAGGATTATTTAAAATTGGATGAAATGGAACAAAACCTGTTATAATCTATTAATCCAATTCCATCAAATAATTTTATTTTTCTTTTCTCCAACTTGGCCAATATGACATGAAAACAACTCATTATTCACTAATCTCATTATCACCACTTCTCAATAGATGAAATGAAAACTTTCCTCCATTACATCATAAAATATAAACCTTATTCCTTTGATCCTTTCCATTCCATCCTACCCAACTCTATTCCATTCCACCTGTCAACAATACACCATAACATTGTTTTGAAAATTATGGGCATTGGATATTGAAAATTGATGCTCGCAACGCTCACCCAAAGAGCTGATGGACTGCTTGTACAATCTCTGATCTTTGTAATTTGCAAAGAAGACAACATCCCCTGAAACAGTGAAAGCACCACCTCCATACTCCTGAGCCAATGTTCTCACTCCAAATTCCTTAGGAGTAATGTCCACAGCCTCACCTCCTGGATTTTCCGGCTCAACAACAAGAACCCCTCGTCTGAAAAACAAAGTGAACAGCCAAAACAAACGGGTGATTTTGCAAACCTCAAGGTATTAAAACTTTTGACTTTTCCCAATTCCAAACTCTCCAAGAGTGTTTTCTTTTTTTTTTTTCCAACAACATCCAGTTCCTTAGGTACTTTTGATGCTATTTTCCAATCAGACATGAAGTTTTATCTCAATAATCAGCGTAATAAAGATTTACATTAGATGTTAACATAAGTTATAGAAATAAAACTAATTCTGATCAGATAACAATACCAAGAACACTCAAATAACTGTATCTAACTGATTTTGGTTTAAATTAATTTAAAAATGTACTGATTTCTGTGTGAACCTTTTATTCTAAAAACAACTCGCTAATCAGTATAAATTTGTTCCTCCTACACAAAATTAATTTAGCTCAACTCAATTTTAGAGCCGGAACCAATTCCTACAAGTGAAGCCAAACATACAAACATTTAAAGCTTATTTAGATAAACTTCTCCTGAACACTTATAGGAAAAAAAAATACAATAAGCTTCTCCATAAACTAAAAACGGCTTACACATAAGCTAATTTATAAAAGCTCTATTCAATTAACTTCCCTAAAATCTATCTCTTAACTTATACATAAGCCGGTTTTAGCTTACGAAAAAGCATTTTGATTTTCTTTTCCACTTGTTTCTCCTTGAAATACTTTTAGAGAAACTATTCCAAACAGTCCTCACCTAAAGTCACGTTAGCCACTATTCCAACGCGATTTTAGATCATCCAAACACGTACTCAAACTCAAACCTACTTACCCTGATTCCGCCGGCCGCGATTCCAGCCAAATGAGGCGGCCGCAGCCGTCCCCGGCGG